TAAACATCATTTTCTTTTTTTAAACATCAGGATCTGGTGTCGTTAAACTGATGCAGATTAAAGGGCAGTAATTAGGCTGTGGTATGCAGCTACAGTAAACAGCATGATTGATTTTGGTTATCTGTAACGTGTCAGTTGTTTATTTCTGCCTTTGATCATTCTGCAGGCTTCCTCTCGTGGTTCAGGAACGGTCTGCTGGCGACCGGGATCGGAGTCATCGCATTCGTCCAAAGCGATGTGGGACGAGAAGCAGGATATGGTACGGGAAAGTTATATGTGCAGAAGAGCTGAAAACCAGACAATTTAAGCCTAAGCCTGTTTGTAAAATACGCTTAAAATTTAAATAAAGTAACAAACGGTCGATGCAGCTCTAAATTTAAGATCAAGAGGATTTTTAAACTCTGTTTCTCTCTAGGAGATATTTTTTATCTAAAAATGTAAACATACGTCTGCTGTTTTTGTGAAGTAGAAAACTTTGTAATGGGCACTTGCTGCACTTTTAATATGAATAATTTCACAAGGATTCCTGCAATTGACTTGAAACAGAGTCAAAATCCTTGATATCTTGTTGTAACCAACATCATCATTACCTGACACGTGAGATTAGGCCCTTAAAATTTTATTAAAGAAGACCTTCATGGAATCAATATTAATTGACAGCTGATGGGCATGAATATTTGAAAACTGTCTGAAAACAAAACTTTCGAGCCACAGCAGTAAATCGAAGGAACGCGGTATTATTTATGTCAAAATAAAAGCTGCTGACCTACTTGATGTATTCTCAATGCTAAATCACGGGAACGGTTTGTATAACTTCTGAAATAAGTTTGATGCCAGAAAATCTTCCACTTAATCTTTTATTTTAATCTAAATAATTAAAAGGAAAAGTCGATTCAACCTGCCTCCATGCCAGCTTTAATTACAGTGACTTATGAGGAAATTAATTGGGTTTCTACAATAATACCATGTCAATCTGTTTTTCCTCAGCCTTCTTTATCCTGGGAGGTGTGTGCGTGTCGTTTGGCGGTGCCTCGTATATTGGCAGCCTCTTTGCCTTGCGGAGGATGATGCTGCTGTCTGTGCCAGCACTGCTGTTCCAAGGAGCCGTGGTGGGCAGCGTCGCCCTCTTCTGGCTCTGCGCTGTATCGCTCTACATCGGACGATTAGAGGTGGAGATCATCCACGAGGGAGAGGAGGGAGAGGATGAAGAGGAGTGCCGAGAGTGCCGGGAGAGGCGCGAACACCGGGGTTACCGTGGCCCCCGCGACAGTGAGGACAGTGACGGCAAGGGGCAAAACAAGTAGAGGTCTTCCAGGAATGCAGAGTGGAAAGCTGTGCATGTGTGCTGCTCCAATTCAGGGTTTCCCTTGTTTGTATGTGTGTGGATTTTGTGTACATGTGCGTGTATAAGCAGCCTACATATGCAGGCCGTGTGTGAGTCTGTAGATACGATCTTATTATCTGTTGTTATCAAGATGAATATTAATGTGGGGAAAGACTTTTAAGACCTTTTTGAAAACTGGTCGAAGAAATTTGTGAAACATGCTGGTAATTGGGTAGTTTAACTACCTTCGAAAATAAATCAACATTTTGTAAGTTTTGTTATAACTACATGTAGCCAGAGCTGAGTCTCTTACGTCATCAGTCTGAATTGTTTTCTTTTTCTTTTTACATTCTGCAAAGACTCGCCGAGAACGCCACGTTATTTCTTCAAGTTCACTCTTTGCTGCCCTATATCATTTTAATCCTCATTCACAGCCAACTGTTGTTGGGTGCTGTTTGTCTTATTCAGTATAATTAACTGTGAATGACTACTTGAAGTTTTCTTGAAAGCGTGGAACTAAAACAAGCTGGATGTGATAAACTGCGAGACCTACGAGGAGGACTGCGGAGTGTGTGTTTCAGGTCTGTAACTTTGTTTTGATCAAAAATCTCTGAGGGCTTTTAATTTGTTTTTTTCCAGCTTTTTTTTTTTTTTCTTTTTTCATTATTATTTTGTTTTCGAAGGGTAATAGCACTTCTGTCGCTTTAGTTTGAAACTTTAGTAACTACAGTTTTAGAAGCAAAGCCTATTTTTCCACAGGCTTTCCTGTGATTATTTACACACACTCTGTATTGCTGTAGCCATGTTTCTGAGTGAATTCCACACTATAATCACTATGATTGCTTATTTAATGGATGTGAAGGGTTGTTGATCATTAAAGAGTTTGAATGCAGATGTGGAGATGGGGTTCAACATTGTTTACTTTTTTTTTTAATGCACGACTTCCTGTGCACTCTACTGTATATACAGTAATAAAGCAAGAAGAAATCTGTCGAGTTACATCAGTGCGTATTCTTTAATGACCCATCGAATGAGACCTCAGATATGTTTGTTGTTGGTGTTTTTGACCGAACTCTACGGAGAGTTTCATAATAGACGGATTATCTCATAAAATGTGATGAAACTGATCAATTATAAATCCCCCGAAGGGCATGTTCTCAGTGACTTCAGGATTAACAGCTGGGGCCATTTAAAAAAATCACTAATATGGAGAGCACACACATACTGTGAATAAATACTTGCGGACATACATGAGAAGGGGAGATGTGTAAACATCTCTCTCCTGCATCTTAAGAAATCAAAAACCTTCAGCTGAAGCAAATTATCAAACCACATAAATCTCAACGTGTATATTGCTTTTTAATTTTTTTTTTTTGGTTCATGCAGACAGCGCCCAGTATAATGTATACGTGCTGTCAGAGTTTGTAGTTAAGGCTCCCTGCAGCAGGAGTCAAAAGATGTAAAAACTGTCCGTGCACACATAGACGTCTATTCATGCTGTACATGAATAATTTTTATAACGAGCTGCTCATCGGCGAGCATGTGTGAATATCTGAACTCAAACGGGCAGCATGTGGTTGTGTGTGTGGTTGTGTGTGTGGTGGGGGGTGTTAGTCATGGGGGGGCTTTGTCTGTGATTACTATCTCTGACTGGGTTAGGGCGAAGGTCTGTGATATCTCCCAGCTATCGACACACAGTGTTGCTGTTGAGACTCACCTCGGAGTCACCCTCTCCTCCTCTCCTCTCCTTCTTCACTCCGGCTGTCCTCTCCTTCCCTCCCACCTCTCCTTTGCAGATTCCCATGGCGTTTTGGAGCAGTTGTGTTTCACATGCAGGGTGCGAATAGGCTAGATGGCTACTGCAGCAGTGTGACGAACACACACACACACACACACACACACACACACCCACACACACACACACACACACACACAACCACCTCCTCCTCCCTGAGCCCCTTTCAGCTCTCTTCCTCAGATCCTCTTCTACCCTTTCACCCTCAAGTCCTTTCTTTCTGGTCTCCTCCTCACGTTCCCTACTCCTCCCCTCCCACCTCTTCTCCGTTTTGCTCCTCCGTGGCTGCATCTGACTGCACAGGTCTGTTTGGCATGCAGGAGGCTCCTGAGGCCTGGCGCGTCTAAAGGGCAGTGCGCCCAGAGGCAGGAGACGCGCCCTCACTGATAAACACCATCTACGCCAGACCCAGAGCAGCTATAGGAACCATAACGCCAGCACAACATACCCCAAAGTCCAGGTCTGGCCTCATACATCTCCAAACCTCAGCTTCACATCTACGCTCTCAGCATCGAAAGTTGGAGTCTTAACCTCTGCTTATTTTGAGCGCCGAGTGCTCATCTGCTTTCAGGTGTTAAATGCCATGCGTACGGATCAAAGGATCTGCCTCAAGAACTGCATTAAGTATGGATTGGCCTTCTCCTGGCTGAGAGGAGAAAGGGGTGATTGTTGGGAAACAATGACAAAGATGAAAATCATAGAGGTAGAAAAGAATCAGGGAAAAAGAGCCTGAGAAATGTAGTGAGCCCATGTCAGATGGAAACTGTCTGGCTGTCTCCCTCCGTCCTTCACGCTATTATTCCTTTCCATATTTGTACTTTTTTTTTTCAAATCCATTTACATGTGGTAAGGTATTTCCCCAAGGAGCACGACTCTAATTCAAGGGGTAAGATAAGCCATCAAAGTTAGTGACAGAGAGGGCGTACGGGTGGCTCAGTGACAGGCTGAGAAGAAGACAGTCAGGAGAAATGCCACCGCCACACACACACACACACACACACACACACACACACACACACACACACACACACACACAAATAACCCACGGTGATTGATTTAATCTGCAGAAGCCGCACCTTTACTTCCCTCTATAAAGATGTTACTCCATAGAAAAGAAGAGATAAAGAAGAAAGGTTATTTTGTAACTCAATTCACGGCACATCAGCACACACGCACACACACACACACCCACTTATACAGTACATATGGTTTTGCACGTACAATGGCATTTTCTCCCCAACAACTGCTCTTGTTTAGTATGCGCTTCCTTTGGTCTTGAGGAGGAATGATCCTCACTCTAATGAACTAGGGCCTGCCACTTGAATGTAAAACAGGATTTAACCCGTCTTCAATGTCAGAGCCCCTCCCTGGGGCTGCTTCAGACAACACACACAAATTCACGGAAATGCACGCACACACACACACAGACAGACATGCAAGCAAACGGCCAATGTACACACACACGTGGTAATGCATGAACACCTATAAGTGAGAGACTCTGCGCTTCTGGGTTTATTTCAAAGCAACTAACACTCAAGTGATGTCTAGTCTGACCTGCATCTATCTATCTATCTATCTATCTATCTATCTATCTATCTATCTATCTATCTTCTATCTGTCTGTCTGTCTGTCTGTCTGTCTGTCTGTCTGTCTATCGTCTGTCTGTCTGTCTGTCTGTCTGTCTTCTAAGTACTCAGAATATGCATGTTAAATGAAAAGAATTAACAAATGTGAGTGCAGAAAAAATTCTATTTAAATCACATGAAATCTCAAGGAGCTATATGTAGAAATCGAAAGCATCAACACATTTAAAAATTCAGATATCACAACTGCTTACTCTCCACGCCTGCAAAAGCAAGAAAGAAACAACCGACATTGAGTTGTGCTCCTCTACTGGAATATTTTATTGTTATCATCATCATCATCTGTATCACTGTTATTATTTTTACATTTGTTCATTTTATTTGACGAGTGGGTGGAGTATTCACAAAGATGGGAGAATAATGTTAGATTCACAGTGATGGGCGAGGGGTTAGCCGTTTAATTCAACAACAACAGAAAAACCCAAAAACAAAACAAAATCCAAACTCACTCACACACTTTTAACAGGCGAACACGCCCGCATTCAAACACACACACACACACTTATTATACCAGTAAACACCCGAGCATATGTGCGCTGACACATATTTGTAGTATGGGTGTGTAGCGCGCCCTTTCCCCCGCCCCGTCTTTTTTTTAAACCCCCACCCAGCCCCACCCCGCCTCTGTCAGACGTGACGATATGAGCGGTTCCATAAAGCGAACCCTCAGATCAGGCTGTCGATCATAATCTCAATTTAGAAGAAGGAAAAAGAAAATAGTGCCAGAAGGCCTGGCTTTCAACAAATTGCTGTATATATAAATTTACATGTATTTGGCTAACATGGCAGATCAGACGACCTTATTACAAAGTGCTAGACTGTTTTTAACGTATCTCTCTCACAGCTTATATCACTGCATATCGTGGTTAAATTTTATTCTTCTCACTTCTTTTTCCTGATGAGTTTGGCCGGGTGAAATTTCCAAATGTTATTATTTATGAATTCTCCTTCTTCTTTATTATTTTAGTTGTGATTTTCTTACACATATATGTATAATTTTGTTTTAGTTGTTTCATTTTTTCCAAGTCAAAAGTGTTTTGTTTTTCCTGAGAGGAGCTCCAATCAATTGCTATGAAACTGAAATTTAAAGTGTTTCATATCCCCACTTTTTAATTTAAAACTTTATCTCCAGTTGACTCGCTTGAACTGAAACCAATATCAGAACAATTCTGTTTTGTTTTATCGACCTCCGACGGTCACATTTTAATGACCACATGTGGTCTTGTTTATTTACCTGCCTTTCTAAATGAGCATTTATATCCCCCACCCCCCACCCCCACTCCACATACCGTGCTCAGGCTATGATATTAGCGGCCGCTCTTGCATTGTTTTCTGTTTTAACAGGATCACACGCCGAACCGTGAAGTGCTTTAGAGTTCACACCAGAACAAATTTCGGTAAGTGCTCAGAAAAAAAAAACCAAAAAAAAAACCATGTTTAAATGATAAAAACACTTCTGTCCAGCACATTTCCCCTCCTAAAGCATTTTCACATTTTTTTTCATCCACTAAAACAGTCGTATTTTAAACAATTTCCCAATCGGTTTCACCTGGTGAAGAAAAACAATATAAACCTAAAAACAAACAAGAATATGGCTTTCATACACAAACACAACTGCAGCATTGTACATTGTCATGATACACTAGAAGTCATAATCAGTTAAACAAATCGCCTTCCTATAATTAAACAATACAAGTAGCTTCCTGTCTGCATTGCATTTCCTTCCCTTATATATAATGGAATGTCTGGGACTACTTTAATCATACTTTTGTCCCAAAAGTGTGCTTTTAGTATGGCTGAATCGATGAATACTTGGATCTTTTTTTCAATATTATTGTTTTATATTATTATTTTAAGTATCGATACAAAACACCAAAAAGCTGTCTCCACCTATTTTAAGTTGAAACCCTATAATCAAACTGTCACCCGGAGCCCACTGAAAGAGATGATTTGTATAATACTGCAATAATAAAAATTTATATTCCAAAGTCATTTTTATTCCTACAGACGAGTGCCCATCTCTTCCTACTGGTTTTAGGGTTAATTGGGTTAATGTGCGGTGACGGACATTGACGGTGAGGATGTGAGCTGAGGGTCGTCATGGTTTTCTCTCTATGTACAATATGGCTTCTCTGAGTGGAAGAGACACATAAATCAACACAGTCATCTAGAGAAAGTCACAGAGCAGAGTTCGTTGTTGTCGCGAAGATGAAAAGTCTTGAGGGACAACCAGTCAAAAGTTTCCATGTCCCCGTTTCTCTGAGAGTCACTGTCACTCGTACACAACAGGCTGACATGATAAAATCCTATGGCAGCGGCTTGTCACACACTTTAGATTGCAGTTATTCAACTCATTGTCCAATTAGTAACGTCCTCAGAGGTTTAATCTACTGCCACTTCTGTCTCTCCTGCCCTTTTCAATGTCTCTCTTTCCGTCCTGTCACTCCGCTCTCTCCTTCAGTTTATTTTCTCCTCTCACATCCTCCCCTCTGAGACTCAGTCCTCCTCTGTGCCCGCAGCCCCCCTCAGTCCATTCATACAGAAGGGCAGGCTAGAGGAGAAGGGGCTGTCAGATGGGGAGAAACCACTGAAGGGTGGAAGGCCGGCCAGCCGCTGTAGGTGGGGGAAGAAGGCCGGTGGGGGTCCCTTGTGGTGGTCCGAGCGTAGCTGCAGGCCATCACTGTGTCCTGTGCTGTGGTGGTGGGAAGGGGGGAGCTCAGGTGGAGCGTAGCGGATAGTGCTTGGGGCATAGAGGCTCTGAGGGCCCTGCGGGCCGAGGGCAAGGGGGTGGAAGAGGACCCGGCCCGCTGCACTTCCAGCAGCCAGTCTCTGAAGCAGCTCAAAGTCAGGACCGTTACCTACACCACCACTACCGCCACTGCTCCGGCTGACCACCCCCGCCGACACAGCCCTGTCCTCGCGGGGCAACGGGGAGGACACGGGCATGGCGGGGGACAAAGCTGGGGATGGGGGAGTGAACAAACCCTTCGGTGGAGCTTCGCTGCTGGAAGAGGAGTCCGGGATCGGGGTGGTGGGGCTGTCACCATTGAGGCTGCTGGACGGCGTGTGTGCATGCGAGGGCTGGGGCTGAGTGGTGTGTGTGTGGGAGGTGGAAGTTTGAGTGTGTGATCCCCAGCGCCCCCCGGTGGTCAGGGCTTCATGCTCAGTCTTGATGCCTGGGCTGCCGGGCAGGGGAGATGGAGTCACTACACTTTTCAGCTGCTGGATCACAGCCCGGCCATTGTGCACCCTCCCTCCCCTCTCCCCTCTCGTCGGGGTGTCTCCTCCTCTGCTCTGTTTACCTCCTCCTCCGCTGTCTTCCCGTTTCAATCTGTCGCTGTCGCCTCCCTGGTCCCACTCGGTTTCATCTTCCTCTTCCCCTTCGCTTTCGCTCGCCAGGTCTGAGGAGGCAGAGACACTCTCCTCCGTGTGACGGAGCTCCTCCAGTCTGCGACGGGTTTCGGGAGGTGCGCCCTCCGGGTCAGACCTCAGCAGGCGCTTCCTCCTGTCCTCTGATTGAATGGCCGTGGTGGTGAATTTGTCTCTGCCTTTAGTGTCAGGGTCGCTTTTCCCCACTGAGCTCTTCACAGGTTGCGAGCCTGAGGAGGAAGGAGATTTTTATGACACGATGAGGCACGGGCGAGTGCATCAATGGGACGTCACAGTAAGGTAGCAATGTACGTAGTGTGGTACCTCGGGCCTGTGTGGAGCCATCGGTCGGGGACGAGCTGATTCGAAGTCGCTCTGCTCTTATGCTCTCTGGTAGCTGCAGCAGATCCAGGGGAGTGTCGGGCAGCTCTGTTCGACTGGATGGATAGATGTAAAAAAATGGGAAAAAAGAGAAAGGGAGAGAGTGAAAAGCTGGATGTATACACAAATCATCTACCACTTAAAGCCACTTACACTTAAAAAAAACAGGAATGCCATGCTGATTTAAGTGAATACTTAGAGATGGAAACAACATATAATCAGCCTAATAACTACCTCCAATAGCCAAACTGCCTCACACCCTTCTAACCTCCATCTAACACACACTCACTCCTTCCAACAGCCCTTATCACACATGCACAAACACTGACACATGCAAACAGACACACAGGCAGACCGCACCCCCCGAAACACACGCAGATGCACACACACACACACACACAAATGCTCCACTCAGCAGCCCACCTATACACAGTTAAGCTCAGACAAGGAGGAGGCTGTTGGAGAAGTTAATGAGCTCTTGTAATTACAGCACTAATTAACTAAAACACCATTCAGCCCCAAAATTCTGACATCCATTTGTTGTAATTATATAGCTTCAGTCCAATTAGCATTGAAATTCAGCCTACTCCTCTTGTTTTTGTCTGACTGCTCTGCTGCTATGCGCGCGTTCTGTTGTGTTCTCTCGCGCTCGCTCCGTGGTAAACACACCAAAGCCTTAAACAAAGGTAATACGACACTTAAAAGGTAATTTATATTTAAAAAGAAATCAAGGTGCAAGGTTTTTCAAAATTTTCTTAATCTGATTTGGAGCTTTCTGTAACAGGGTGTCTGCTTATTCAGAATAATAGCGTTAAATAACAATAGAATAATGCATAAAGGAACATTATGCAGGATGAAAAAACCCGAACTGTAAAAGGTATGAAAAAGTGATAACTTTTACTAATTACTATTTAAAATACAAGATAAAATAAACATTTGACTGTCGAATGAGGAACATTTTGAAAGAAAAAGTACGGCTTTTTGAAGCCGCAAATTTTACTGTATGTTGGTCGTGACGCATAGAAACTGTCAGAAACATTAGCAAATTCAAACTAATCTAAAAATCTATTAAAAGAATAAGAAGAATTTAATGATATTTTAGCCAATCTTTCAAGATTTATAATAAAATCAAAAATAACCATTACATTAATTAGGCAGTGGTTTGCTGCTTTGATCTCCTTGTTTCGTGTGTATCCTTACCAGTTTTCTCACATGCTGGAATAAATGAACCTCCCTATCCCAATAATCCCTCTACATTTCATCAGCTATCCCTTCAAAGGGTCTCTGTACACAGTGTGATGCCTGCATACATAAAATGACTTCCTAACAGCACTCGTGGAGAAACGGCGGTTTCAGCTTTGCTCAGGTTCTACTGACCTCAGGACGTAGTTAACCCAGATAACGTTGCGTTCGTGGGGGGCTTTGTGGTTGATGGACACAGTGGCAGTGGACTGGATCCACAGGTACCCTCCTCTCCTCTGGAGCCAGCGATAATAACCAGTCACTACCTGGCCTTTTCTTAGCACTGAGGAGCAAAGATGGGAAGAAAAGAAACCTGTTAATGGTTTGACAGTTCATGAAGGTGGCAGCAGAGGGCGCCTCTAACAACAGTACAGGAGGAGATTTCAACAGGCTCTTGTAGCAGCTCTGCCAAGTTCAGATACTTGAAGAAAGAGAGGGATGGGGATGAACGTCATATATTATACGTATCCATATGTATGTGACTCACAGTCCTCGTGGCTCTGCCGGAGGTTCTCCAGGTCTTCTACATGGATGAAATGGTAACAGGTATGTCCCACTACCTCTGCTGGAGTCAGATCCATATACTCAGAGATCCTGTAGAGCATTGGAGGAAGAAAAACAAACAAACAAACAAAAAACACACACACACACATTTGTCAGCCAAACAGAAGCAGATGTGTGTGCTAACACCACCAACTGGCTGGGTGCTCTGCCAGCTCCTCATGAAAAAACATGAAAGATAGAGCGACTCCCAAAAGGCAAAACAATAGATGGATTACCTGTTCTCACAGTATGTAACCTGTAGGTCCATGTTCACTCGGAACACAAACATGTGGCTCTCCATGCGGACTTCATTAAGCGTGGAGGGCGGGAGAGTGTGCGCCAGCGCAACCAAACCCATCGGTCGACGCACTGATCGGGTGGAGCCCGGGACGAGAGCGGGGCGGCAGCGGATTCGTCCCGTCACGTGGATTACCTGACAAGCACAAAGTCTTTCTTACGCACTCATACGCACAAGCCAGTCTATAAGAGGATTACTAAATAAAGATCAGGTGGAATCAGAGCTGTTTGATGCACTGATTTAGAAAATATAGCATTTATCAATATGTAATAAACTTGGACATATTAGCAGTGAGCGCAGTAAACTGTGATACGTGGAGCGGTTCAGAGCGAAATAAGGGCACAGCCATAAAATATACTGGCAATGACCACCTTGTGCGTGTGTGTGAAACACCAGCAGCACAAACCCAAATTGTTATTTTATTCCGAACACATGCAAGTAAGCTAAGGAATGCATAATATGTTCTCAAATTATGGTGGCGCATTTCCTCTCATACCTTGTATCCAGAAGACTTGACATGCAGGCCTCTTTTGGTGAGCGTGGACTTCATGCGGATAAAAAAGCCACGCTCGGGTGGATCGTCGGCAGGAGAATGAGGACTGGATGGAGCTGCTGGGGATGAGAAAATAACATTAGCTGTTTCAAGAATATTTTTTTTGACTTTTGTCTTAATAATGCCATTTGAGCACAGTGAATTGTTGAAAATCATATTATGTATTTGTTATATTTCTTTCTGCTTTCTTGCCATGACAGTACCGGGTTCAGGGGTACCAGCTAAGGAGGAGGTGGACGCAGAGCTGGAAGCGCTCTCAGGGGCTGTGTGACAGCCGGCCTCGGCCCGTAGATGTGGCCTGATTCCCAGCCGCTCCGCCATCTCGACGTGGTCCGCTGGGTGGATGTAGTCGAACACACTGCTGCCAGTCAGCTCCACCTGAAGAGAAGCACACACAAACCGATCAAAACCAGACGCTTTGTGCAAAAATAACTATACGTGAGCGAGCACACGCCTACAAATACACACAGACACACACACACACACACACAAGTGCACTGAAAAAAAAATCAATATATGTTATGACGGGAAAATGAAAGTGCCGCTCTGGGTTACAACTGAACAAGGAATGAGAGGATGTAAGACAGCCCCACCTGCCATCCCTCCAACATGCTCGCGCACACATACACACACACATTTAAGTCCTGTCTCGGAGGATCAAGTGACTACAGTGCTACACAAATAAAACCAGGAGGAGATAAAAATCAATTGTATTTGCTGATTAAAAACAGGTGAACTCCAACTATCTCCAAAGGTCACATTACTATACTTCTTATTCCCCGTGTCCCTCCCAGCTCCTTCATTCAGTTACAGTCTATCCCAGCAGGCAGCAGCGTAACAGCTCATACAGCTCTATATGATCCTATCATCATAATGCATCATAGTCGCATCTCTAATCATTTAAAGGCAATAATGGCACTGCTCTTGCATGGCATCCATAAAAGCGGCACAATTGAAGAAGGTGTGATTCCATCTGAAGCAGCATGAATAAGTGTGTGTGTGAGAGAGAAGCAGAAAAGGGGGGGGGGGGCATGCATGCTTACACACATCTATGCAGGTTCCATTACATCTGTGAATGTGTGTGTCTGTGTGTGTGTGTGCGCGCATTTGTGTGTGTGCCAATACTATTCCATCTGATAAAGCCGTGGCTGCAGCAGCCTCACACCCTTGTCTGTAGGACACAGCCATTTATTACCGGATTAGAGCCATTTACTGCAGGCTTTATGGGAGCTTCAGCAGGCCCTCAAGGACATCACAGCCGGGGGAGAGGAAGAAGGGGAACAGGAAGGCGGGAGCAGGCGAATAAGAGCGACCGACAATGAGGGAACAGAGAGGGGTAAAGATGTAGGAAACCCCACCGAGTGAGGGGAGATGACAGACGAGGTTTTATCACCCCTTATGTTATTCAGCGCCAGACACGCAGGCCTTAATTTCTTGGGAGACGGTGCCACATTTCGCAACTGCGCCACCTGTAATAAACATATTATTAAATACTAGATTTGATGGGCACCATATGGAGAGGCTGCCCTGCATACTTGCAAGACTCGAAAAGTAATTATCCCGTAACAACTGTGCTACTGTCACACTTTGAAAACGTGCGAGAACAGCTGACCATGCTGACCTGGGAACATATTTGGATAGATATTTGAGGATTTTAATATCTGATAGCATCAAGACAATAATAAATGCAGTTATTGAGAAAGTCCAAGATAAGAAAAATCAATTAAATCTTATGCATTTTAACCATTAAGACATTGAGCAACACAGGTTTCAGATAGTTCAGGGGTCTAATAAAAAGCAGAAACCTCAAAATATATGCCCCCCTACACAAAGGGGAATTAAATGAATGACATTATTTACATTTCTTTTCTTTATAAAAATGTCTCTTTTCTCAGCTAACCTCATGCATCACATAAGAGCACACTGGATCGCAGCTCCCACAGTGATAAGCAGAAGCTCTGATAACGGCTCAGCAGAGTAATATACAGCAAGCGTGTGTGTGTGTTTGGCTCTCAGTTGGCAAACTCTTTTCACTTTTCACTTCCAAAGACTGTGCTGTTGAGGTCTAATGTATTTATTTCTCCCTCGTTCTCTGTCCAGCTCTAACAGGTGAGGCTGGTAAATGTGGAGACCAACAGCACTGTGCTAGCTGACCTTCACGTACGTCAGCAAACTCTTTTTAATCAAGAATTTTTAACACGAGGAAAATTCAGTGTTTTTGTTTACCGATCCTTCTTCTCCTCAGCGTCGATAATACGTCAGCACTCTACAGCTGCGTGCTTTTTGAGTCTGACATCAAAACTGACTCGTTCATTAATGTTTTAAAGTTAAGAGTTTGCAGCTGTCCATTAAATGGCTGGATATCTCTATTAAACTCTGGATGAACCTCGCTTTGAGCATTTCATGTTACCGATTATATCAGCATCTATCTGTTTGTATACTTATCCATGTATATGTAATTGTTAGCACATTGTCATTTTCAAGGTCCAAGTCTGCTCAGAACACTGGACCAGTCATTTGAAAGAGGCAAAATCCCTCGACCCGGTGGTGTTGAAAAACAAGGTAGAGAGGCGAACAGGTCCTTATGGGCTTTACCGGGCTTAAGACCTATCCGAATAATATCACTTCATCTCAAGCAGGAGGGCGAGATTGAAAAAAGATCAGACAGAAATGAGAAGATGAGGAAGGGACGAAGCGATTGAGAGGATGAGTCAGGCTCAGACATAAAAACAGGTATAGAATGTGGCGCAAAGGGAGGCGTGAGGAGAGACCGAGATCATTCAAATCTCTCTGAGAGCGTGTGTGTGTCTGCGTGTGTGCGTTTGTGCCTATGCAAGCACACGGCGCGCCTCTGTTTCCCTGCGTATGTGACTAGACTGTCTGTTTTTATGTCTCCGTGTGTCATTGTGTGTCACTGTTTGTGCGAGTAGTTGTCTGTCAGCGCATCTGTGTGAACCTGTGTGTGTGTGCGCGCAGAGATGCACGTGCATGCATGTATGGTGGTGTGGTGGGGACGAGGGGCAGCGAGCAGGGGAAGCAGAGACATGATATAAATAATAGCAGGGGGCTTTAATATGTATGAGGCATCCGGGCAGTGGTCCACAACATACTCTCAGCCCTCAGCCCTCACTGACTGATGGGAGAGGAGAGGAGAGGAGGGAGGGGAAGATGGGGTGGGGCGGAGGTGGAGTGGGGGCTGCATACTAACCATTCGCAGATCAATTCTCTCCTCCCTCAATCTACCATCCTTCCTCCCTCCTCTTTACCCCATTTATCCCTTTTTTTATCCTACTTTTACTCCTCCATCCTTTTCATGTCTCCTCCCTCATCTTCTCCAACCTTTGTCTCTCCAGCTATTCTGCCCTCCCCTCTTCTGTTTCCATGTCTTCTCCCCCCTGCCTCATCTGCTATGTGTCGCTCCCAGGTTTATCCCTCGTGCTCCTGGGCCTGAAAACCAAGTGAGCCAGACAAAAAAGAAAAAAGATACCTGTGCGCCAGGGGAATGGGCGGAGGGCTGTGCCCTTGGTCAAGGTGCCTGACCTGGGCTAAGTCGGCTAAGCAACCCCACTGTCAGGGGAGTGGCCCGGGTGGTAAGCCAGGGCAGAGGGGTCAGACGGGGGGACAGGAGACGCGGGGCTGGGGCGGTCCACAGGGGCGACATGCCCTCTAAAACAAACAACCACTTATACTTTTTCACTCAGAACATTGTTTGTCTGTCCTTCCCCTCTCCCCTGTGTCCGCCTCCACTCACCAGCAAAGTATATTGAAGTGTTTTGTCCTCTCCCTCCCACCTTCCCTTCTTTCCTGTTGTGCGTTTTTCCATCTCATTGCTTGTGTCCATAAACACACTGTATATTCGCGCTCGCTCCCCTCCCCGAACCCCGTCTACCTGCCCTTTCTGGCTGTGTCTTTCTCATCATAAACCTCCTCTGTGCCCGGCCGTCCTCATCTTTTCGGGAAGGTAAACGTGGCACTGTATGTTTAAGGTTTGGAACGTAATCTTAGATCATAAATAATTTCATTAGAATGCTGATGGCTTAGGCCCAGTTTGAGGAGATGTGATGGGTTAGGCCATCTGCTCAGCTGATAAGAACAGCTCTGTTTTATTAGCATCTCCACCAAAGCCTCGGCTGTCTTGTTTACCTAGGCAATCCCAAGGCGAATTTCATTCCTACTGCACATTTAAACTCTATTTACACACTCAGACTCTCTCGCTCCTCTTTACCACCGTCTCTCCCCATATTCCTCTGCTTTATTTTCTTTCTCTCTTGTAATTGTCTGTCTGGTTCTCGCTGTTCCTCTCTGCAGCTCCCCTTTTTGTTCTGTCTTCTCTACGTCACTTTCTTTTGTATCTCTCTGTGTTTACATGTACATTGTGTGTGTGTGTGTGTGTGTGTGTGTGTGTGTGTGTGTGTGTGTGTTTGCAAAGAAGACTCAAAAACGCCCACGACAATTCAAGACAATCCTTGTCCTAATCCAACTTTATATTAACCTTCATTGAATGCCCCATGACAGGAAAGTTTAAAGAATAGTTTCAAGTCTGCCTCACATTAAGAGCAATTAGGCCTTGTAATCGTTCTTCTTCTCCTTACTTGCTGTGAATCGATCTTAGCTGTAGAGCAATGGGTGCTTTTTATTATGCTAGCATGTCTTCAAGCTTCCCTCACTTTTTTCTCTTCCCCGCATCTTAACTCCTCCCAGTGAAAATGGGAGACAGAGAGTGATCTGTGAAAGGACAGACCTATGTTTCCTTATTGCAAGCGCCTTCTGAAGCCTCCTCTATCTGTAAGGCACAGCAGCTCTGCAGGAGTGGCATGGACAACCACAACAAAAACATCGAGGGAAACTGAATGAATATTTGTATATGTGGAAAATAAGAAAGGCCTTGATGAGGTCATCTTGAAAATGTGATTTTTGATTCTTTTTTATTGTGAATAATTAGTAAAAACAAAGTGAGGTGTGAACTTTTTCAACTTTTCAAGCTCAGCATACAAGAACAAGCTTGAGAACCACTGATTTAAGAGACTGAACTATATCTTCTGTTGCAAGAACAATTTTGGGGGTCAAGAGAGTAGTGAGAACACGGGGAGGGGGGACAAACATGTCTTGTGGCTCTTCATGATATGAAACTCCATCAGGAAAAAAATGGAGTCAGTGAGCTCATTTTTTTCCTACAAGTCTCCAGTTCAACATTAAACAATGACTAAATATCTGAAAACTAAAAACCTATTTCCCCCCTCAAGTTTTCTTTACACTGACTTACAGGTGCAATTCAGGACATCATTGTGTGCAGGTGGAGGAAAGTATATTTATGACCAGGGCCAAAATTACAGACTATCAGTGCAACTTAACAAAGTTGAGGAAGGATTTAGTAAAATGCATCTAAAGAAAATCTTTCCATTTCAAACTTGCTTGCTGCATTTTTTTCTTTGTATTACGGTGTAAAACAAGAATGTAGTAACATTCATCACCTGTGCAGCAATCACAATAGACTGAAAACAGTCAATATCAGTATGCAATTAAAGAATTACACAGCCTTAACAATACAGAAAGAAAGTACGACATCCATCTGAAATTAAATGAAACAATGAGCAATGATTTAAAAGCTAAGCCTGTTATCCTCTTGCATGTGTATAGATATATTTTTTATTTAATATCACATTTTCTGCTTAACAAAAAACTACTTCTGACATTATATCCCTAAGTTACAGTGATTTCATAACTGGGGACAACATCTGTTTGATTTATCTGCTCTGATAATTATACATATATATTTTTAGAGATTTTTCCAGTCAGTACAGATATGAATGATAATGGTGGCCAAGGACCAATGGAGACTAATGAGATCTCCTTCATGTGAGTACTGTACTAAAAGGAAAAAAAACCCAAACATATCCTTAAAACTTATTCTTAAGTTTGTTAATGGTTTCAGCGACTGCCCTTAAACAAAGAAAAAACCCTCAGTTACATCTGTTATTGTTACACTTGCCTCTCTCTCGCTCCCTCGTGCTGTACCCATTCTTCTTAGTTTGAAACATCTCTCTCTTATCACACCTCTCCTCCTTTCCTCCCCCTCTCTTTCTCTCTCTGGCTGTCTCTATCTATCTTCCCATCCCCCTTGGTGTTTTTCCCCCTCCCTACAATCAATGTGGCTTTTAAGATGCCTATCGATTTGTTCCCCTAGACAGGCCCAGCGCGCTGGGGCGACACTTTGATTGCTAGGCCAGTAATTACTGTTATTATTTATGCATCTGGGCAAAATGGCAGGACTTAACATTCACAGTACAAGAGGCCACAGGCAATCAACAGAGGTGAGCACCTGGAGAGGGAGAGAGGGCGGCAGAGAGAGCTAGAGAGAGAGAGCAGCATTGCCCCTGTGAGAGTTGTACTCCAGAGATGAGCACAGAGAGTGAAGTCAAAGATATTCACACTCACACACAGACACACAAACACATGCGCTCCTGGGAAGGGATATGAAAGCATAAAGAGAAGACAGGCACATGTGTGCAAATGCACTTGTAAATAAAGGATTATGTGGTCACGTGTGTGTGTGGGTGTGTGTGTTGTGTGAGAGAGACATAAAGAGAGTGAGATGAGGTTGTCTTACCTGTGAGAGTCCCAGGTAGATAGAAACTGTCTCTGAGATGTAGAGGAACCGTCCCTCCTGGCTGACCACAAACACAAAGCCATCTAGAGACTGTGCACATAAACACACAGGGACACACACGTGGGCACACAAAAACACGCACACACACACATGCACGCAGAGACGCAGACATAAAGGCAAACAGAAACAAGACAGACAAATTAGAGCAATTAGCGTGTATCGAACAAATTACAATGAGCTAGAGAACAAACAACCCATCACCCTTCGGCCTCTTCTCTCAACTGGCGAGCACGCTCACACGCGCGCGCAAAAAACTCACATGACGTGCATAAATGTGAATAGACATGAAACAATTCCCATAGACGCAGCTACACGCGCGACAGCTGCGAGTGAGACCTGCGTGACCGAACAAACGGTGAACAAAACAGAGGCAGACGCAACGCATGCGGTGTGGACGTCCACGAACACACACATACGCACGTGCATCAAGAAAGGCGCACTTAAACAAATTCAGCAACGAGACATGAGAAACTGAGCTTATAGACCAGGGGCTGTTCCAATCAGCCGTAATAAACCAAGAGTCGAAGCTTCATCCTGGATCTCCAGCCACACACGCACACACACGGACAAATAAACACAGACACAGATAGAACCAGAGTCATTACGGCCTGCAGTGATTCTAATGAGAAGTGAAAGGTATACAGCCAGCCCATTAGACGGGACTGCTTCAGAGAATAATATTAATCGTCATAACAAGCATCCAGGAGTGAGCTGACACAGTCTCAGCCTCACACACACATGCACACACACCAGGGCCACTTTGCTCTAGAAAAATGATTGCTATTTTGGCGGCCTAGTGCTTAAAGTGGCAGTGGTAATTTATGCAACTGACACATCCAGTATGCAAATGTGTGGCCGGGGTGTGGAGCGTCGTGTGTCGCGTGTCGCGGCGAGGAGAAACCAGCCGCATGAATGTCGGAGAACTAAAGTGCAATTATCAGGCTATTACTGTGGAAGAACGGCTGGGAGGGGAAGAATCATACAGTTTTTCTGGAGCGTTAATTTGATTTCTATCAGTGCCGTTCTCTAAGCCTCTCTTCCTCTTTAAAATGCCAGAGGAGAGCAGACATATGTAATGTTTCTTTGTTTTACCACAACCTTCTCACTTCTCTACTCTCCTTTTATCCCTCCACCTGTTCCCACTCCTACCTGTTCTTCCTACCGCCTCCCCCTCCCTAAGCTCCCTCCAAAGTACAATCTGCAGTGCTACCTCCTTTGCTCTTCCTCTGAGTCTTTGCCTACATTCTGCATTTCGTCACCCCAGCAGCCCTCCTGCCCCAGAGTACCCCTCGGGCTGTGTTCGTCTGTTAGTGCAAAAGGGAGGTATTCTTTGGCAGCATCTGAGGGTTACGCGATGTGCTTCTGTGTCTGAGTGTGACTGTGTTTAGGAATTTGCCTGGAAATATGAGTCAAGGCAGAACGACTTGAGCCAGTGCAGGCTGTGATCACACATAGCAGTGACTTAGTACAGCAGGATAATCAAACAAATGTGACTGTTAGGAGGGGAAAAAACATTTCTAACTTCAACTTTTGATACATCTGAAAAAACTAGTTTCTCTGCTTAACAACACAACATAAGCATGGCAAAAAAAAGTCAACTATAGACATAATCAGTGCGATACAAGAAGCAATGTGTGGGTGATGCGGTCGTTACCTGCAGGAGGTGTGCCCCTAGGTGCTGCTCAAACATGTCAGTCGCCAGAGAATGAGATGAACGTCTAACTGCAGAGAAAAAGGAGACAGACATTGTCATAAAATGCTGGCGGGCAGCATTTTATACCTGTTGATATTATAGCAGGTGAGTAGATTTTGTTAATTGATCATGAGCAGGGCTTTTTCAGTGCAGAAATTTGGGTTTCTGTAGGTAAGGTGTGTGTTTTAACAGTGTTTTTATTACTGTAGTATGACAAAATGCTAAAAAAAAGTCTCCATGTTTAGTACTAGACAGTTAAGATCACATATTACAGTTAGAAAGGTCATGCTCTTGGTCAGTGTAACCATCAGAAGCAACTTAATTAGTCAAAGCTGCATAAATAAAACACAAACGTCTTAATATGTAGGAAATCATTTTGCCGGTCAGGTTTAAGCCACGCTGATGGATTAATTTCCATTTTTTTGGATGAGTTAATACAGCTTTGAGGAATAAGTGATTACACAAATTGATCTGGAAATAGAGGATTTTGCATTAACGTGGGATCTCTTTCACAACTTTAAAATCTTCAGCAAAATCAAAAGTGAAACTTGAAGCAATTATGTCTGATAAAAGAAGAATTTACCATGCTTAAAAAAAAAAAGTGCACATAAGGTGGAGCGCTGCGTGACGCATACCACTCAATCTCTGCCAGGCATACAAACAAACAAGCAAACACACACACACACACAGTGTCTGCATCACCACTCTTAATGCATCCCAAACACAAGCTATCAGAGCTGCTTCAGTGCCAAAGTGGTGGTGTTTACCAAGGCAATTACAATACAAATAGAGTTGGAGGTGGTTAGGTGGAGGAGGAGGGGAGGAGGGCGAAGATAGGTATGAGAGGAGCACAGAGGGTAGGGAAAATGAAAAACCTTAAGGAAGGAGAGAGTGATCACTTTCTCCAAAGCAAACCTGGGCATGGGGGTTGGGGGTGCCGCCACTGACGTGGAAGATTAATTTTGCAATCAGGTGTATTTACTGTTTTATGTCAGAAGGAGTGTGTGACGGTGTTTATGCACCTGCAAGTGTGTGATTGCAAAAGTGGGGACCATATGTGAGAACTAATCTCACTCCAACAGGGCTGCTTTTGAACACAATGTTCCCCGTCCAATGGAGACAAACTGCGTATGTCCGTGTGTACCCAAAATATATGTGTATAAGAGCATATAAATGTATGTACGCGTGTGAGTCTGTGTGCGTGCCTTTAAGGATCATTGGATATCTGCGCGTGTGTATGTGTGTGTCGCTGCAAGGCTGCGGGAAATCAATACACGTTATGACAGGAAAATGAAAGCGCTGCTGTGGGTTACAACTGAACACAGAGGGGGGATCGGAACACACACACCCACCAACACACACACACACACATACAATCACACGCACATATATATTGCCCAGCTGCCTGCTTGTGATGTGGGTTTGTTGAATAGAAGAGGGAGGCATTCCATTAGAGCTATAGACACACACATACACACACTTTAGGAATACACACAGCAATGAATTCTCATGCACAGACTACACAGCAGCAACATGCTCCCCGATTAAACAACACAAATACCCGTGCACACACACAAACTCTCTCTCTCACACACACACACATACACACATAAATACAGAGTTGCCGGACAAAGCCACAGTGGCATTGTGAGATTGGGGTCCCCCTGTGTGACAGAGTGTGAATTTAAATAAGGCAAGTCCATTCAGGGCTATGAAAGGGGGTCTGGTGCTGGGACCCTTCAGCCTAGTCAGTCCCTGCCTGGAGGGGGATGGGGAGCCCATTTCGCTCTCTGCCTGCCTAGCAGGCTCCCTTGTGGGGCAGCGATGCAGCCGCAGTGCTAGGAAGCTTGGAGGAATCAACCCCCGTGGTAACCATATAAGAATTAATCAAAACAGAAGACAAACGCACTTCGATTGTTGTGAAAGTGTGTGTGTCTGTTCTGGCTTTCGTGCCACAGAACCCTGGAGGAGCGACGGTGATGGTGGGTGATCAGTTGTGCTGAGTAGTGTCAGCGGGCCCAAGGAAACGCTGAATGTGACATGAGGCCAGCGGGGCTGACAGATGAGTCACACCCCTGCACACACACGCAGACACAAATACACAGAGGACCATTTATTAAAGACTGCCACAGTACAATAGGGCAACCAGGAAACCAAAACACTGGACCTGATGTGTGTGTGTGTGTGTGTGTGTGTGTTTGTGCGCACAGCATGCGCGTGTGTGGTGTATTCTTGCGCACATGTGAAGGGAAAGAGTCTCACAGCGTTGATGGTATCACACTCTGAGAACAAAGATCCCTCTGTAGTGCTACTGTGAACCCCTACTTCTCTATGTGTGTGCCCGTGTGCGAGTGAGGGCTTTGCATTATTCTGTGTGTATACCTTAATATTACAGCTTCTATAATATTTGATGTCATTATAAATCATAATTCAAACAATAACATATTATTTTACAACTTAGATCTTATTTTGAACTTGCTGTGCATGCGCCTTATTGGTAGACCAAGTCAAAACAGATGACAAATGATTGGACAGACATTAACAAACCAACAATGTGGCCACGTTATTAAAGCAGTGCTTCAGATCTGCTAAATGTTTCATTTAGATAGTTTTGGACATCACATCTCATCATTTCATCATTGTGCCTGAAAACATCATTTGTAGTTGAATATTGTTGTGGTCAAACAAGATTTTGGAATATTTTTGTGAATCTTAACTCTTTTGTACAGACAACCGGACGTTATTCCCTCTTGTTTAAGCATAAATATATAACCAAGAGAATTTTGCCCCAAAAGATCACCTTCAGCCAAGAAAAAAAGTGGTGGCACTCAGTGTAATAAAAGTTTAATTTGCCAGATTCCTGTATCTGTGACTGCTGGCCCAGCTGAAGCGCTGGAAAGAAAGAGGGCTTCAACTCAACTCCTAAATCAAAAAAGTGGTCTCGATCATGGGTGTCAAACATGCAGCCCTCAAAGAGTCAAAACACAGCCCGCTGGAATTTTTTTTTGCTAAATGTGAAAATTGCAGAAAAGGAGGGCGTCATGTTTGACCTTTTCAATGAATTTTGCACCAGGAAGCATTGCATGTCGCTAAGAATAGATCGTGTCCTGAACCGGGACCTGAAACGCTACATTCACCCAATGCAGAGGCCTAAGTAACTGTCAGTTTGACATGCTTCCTATTAAAAAAGACACTGCACATGTAATGCTACAAAAAGTAATGACATATATTATGATGAGTATATGTGCATGTTTGGTTTTACTGGTCCGGGCTGTTTGAGCTTTATGTACTAAAATTAGTTTGACATCCCAGTTTTGGTTTCCTGCATGAACTGTTAACTTGTTTAAAAAATGTGTGACTGCCTGATTACTCTTTTTTTGATCCCTGATCTCATCAAATCCTTCAGTTTTTAACCATAAAAAGATGTTCAAAAGCAATAAAACCTGACTTCAGTTAAGATGCGTTAAATTGCAATTCTCCTTTAAGTGAGTTTGTGCGAATAAACACCGTGACTTGTGTGCAGAGCTGGACGCAGGGCTGGCTGAGGTCTTTGATCGAGCTGTTCTGTCACACTCCGATTCCATTAGCTTCCCGGGACTCTGCTAAGAGATTTAATTCCATTGTGGGAATAAGAGACAGAATGGGACAGGGCAGGAATGGACACGTTAATTATGATTTGACTCAGAGGTCAACTTGCACGGACTCCCCAGCGCTTCACAAGCAGAAAAGATTTGAATGATTGAATGAAAAAATTTGAATGATTTTCATGATACTTTTGTCTAATACATAATTTAGTCCCAGTTCAGTCCAGAGGAATGACCACACACACACACACAGCCAAGCATCCCCACGTGGGGGGCTGTAGACACACAGACTCCACCCCCACAGTGTCAACCTCTTTTAACCAGGTTAGGATGTTACCATGGGAACCAAACAGTGAACCCCCATTTCTCTCTCTCAGTTTCCTCTCTCTGTGTCTTCTTATTCATCTCTGTCTCTTAAGTTTGGCTCTGCCACCGCAGCTTCACCCTTTCAAAACAAGAGCCCGGTCACTTGCCAAGTTGTTTACTACCAATCCAAATGTGATGTTTCGGCCGTTCGACAGACAGCGAGAGAAAAAGTGACCCTAATCGCAGCGTCCTTCTCTGGCACAATTATCTTCTCACGCCGACATCCATCCCTCCCTCCTTCCCTCTATCTGTCCTCTATCTTTCCGTCTCTTCTCCATCGCTCCCTCACTCCTTTTGCGGTCGAACATAATTTGAGTGCAATTAACTTCCCTTAAAAGCTCAGGCTGCTTTAAACGCTGTGAATTAGAGGGGAGGCAGACGCAGGGAGATCGTGAAGAGGTGGGGGAGACAGAAGGGGAGGCGAGGGAAGACGAAAGCAATGAAAGAAATGAGGGGGAGAGTGAGAGGGAGAGCGAGATAGAACGAGCAAGTGGAGGCAGAATGAAAGTCAATGTCACCAGCGCCGGGGAGGGGAGAGGTGTGTTTGACCTCACTAGCCGAGACAGTAAAACACTTCAGCTGGCCCTGTTGCTGGCGCTGACTTGTCATTGCACTGTGCCTTGTGAAAAAGGCAGAGGGGGTTCTCCAGCTGCCCTGCACACCTGTTACAGGTTGATATTTTCCCCCCTTTTCTGTTTTATTAAACAAAAATAAAAGTAGAAAGTTAATTTCAGATAGGAAATTTTAAAAGATATCTCTGTCTTACCACAATCAACTTATTTTCTTTACATTATTATTATTATTATTATTATTATTATTATTATTATTATTATTATTATTATTATTATGTTTGCACTTACTGTTAACAAACCCTACATTATCTTTAACTAACATGCAAAAGTAAAAACTGAACCAAAGTGCAAAAGATACTTTTGGACTAATTTATATTCTGCTGAACCTAATAAAATGTTTTTTTTTTACATTATGTTCTTATTTGTTATTTTATAAAAACATTAATACTGTCTGCATGGTTGGGTGTGGTTTATTCTTGCCAGTGCAGAGCAGCATAATACAGAGTG